AATCCAGAAATAAAATATGCATATGCGCTTTGATTGTCTTTCCTTTTGCTACACAGTTGTAGTATTTTATATTATGTGCTGAAATAAAGCACCTCCATGTTTTAGAGACTGGAAAAGTCTAACCTTCTAATTCTGTAATACCTCGAATGTAAGGTGTTAAAGGCTTTGACTCATTATAAATCATCTTACAGGACAGTCGTGAACTACCTGCAGCTGTTTCTTAAATTGGGCAAAGTGATACACAAAGTGGAACTGGCTTGCCCAAGTTCACATTAAGTTTTTGCTAAGCCAGGAAATAATGTTATGGCATCCTGACTCTTCTGGCAGTTGTGTCTGTGATGGTGAGCATTTTGCTGAGAGATTGTACATGGGAGACAGTGAAAGGATGAAAATGTGCTCTGCAGTGCACGTGTGTGAACAGGTATTCAGAGATGGGTATTTTCGGTAAGTACTGCTGACTGCTTAGAATATTTTTGTTTGTAGAGATTATATTCCATTTGAAAAAAAAAATAAATTTAAAACCCCATCAATCAATTGTCAAAATTGTCCTTCAGTATGAAGAAAACAAGGTAATCTCTGGGTTGATAACCCCAATACTTGCCACTTCCCTGTTGGAATTTTAAGTGACCATTAAGATCACCTTTGAGGTAGTTACCAGTGAAGCCCTGTGAGGAGTTAGAAACTTGAGGTGCCATGTGCATGGATAGGGTGACGGATTAAGGGACCTTGGGAATCAACAATTTAAGCAGCTAAAATTAAAATGAGAGAGAGGTTCATGAAAATGTTGCACTGAGCATCTTCCATGAGGTCAGGTGTAGCCTCAGCTTGAGGGCATCCATCCTCTGTCATAGCTGCCCAAGACTTTGAAAAAACAAACTTGTGAAAAGCAAAACCAAAAAATAGAAGCGAGTGAGTAATGCTAAAGCAGCTTCTTGCAAGAAGTGAAATAATGACATGACTGAAGCTCCTTGTCCTGTGTATTGTCTTAGCAACTCACGATTGGTCTCGAATAAAAACTACCAGCAGTGTTATAACAATGTCAGGCTGGAGAGGGGAGGTTGTGAAAGAATTTATTTCAGTGCAACTTGGGGGGGAAATCACCACTGAGATTTCACATGTGTGAGAGAATGGTGAACAGACAGAGTTGAAGGGTTTTGTTTGTTTTTTAAAGTGAAGGACAGAAACTTTGCTCCAGCTCTCTGAGAACCTTCCACTCCTCCTTGAGAGCCTCCTCCTGCCCTGTCTTTATCAGTTCTCACAACTCTCTCTGCCAGTGCAGTGCGACAGCATCTTGTCCCGGTTTGCTGACGAGATTTCTCAGGACTTTCAGGGAGAGAGACAGTGACCTACTACCAGGGGGACCTTGGATTGCCCAGCATCTCTTTAATTTCTGATTTCTCTTTTTATGGCTAGAAGACTCGCTGCTGCAACTGCCCTTTGACACGATCACTTAGTGAAGATATAAAGTATAATATTATTAAAGCCAGTTAGTCAAACAAAGCGTGGTAATGCACCTTGTTTGCCTTAAAGTGATACAAAAGGTCACAAACCTCATCTTTTAGGGCAAATCTTTGTCAGCTACTTTTAAAGTGTAAAACCAGACCTGTCCTGACAGAGCTCAGTGAATGCTTTATATGTGACTCTGTTAGCCTTTGAAGTTCCTCCTAATCCATCCCTAAATGCCTGGAACATATTCTTCAAAGAAGCTGTCTCCAGTTTCATTTCAGAGTAGTGTTGCAGGATGGTATGACTGTAATATATATATATATATATATATATATATATATATATATATA